GAGCCGGATACCCGGCAAGACAACCCGTTACGCCTACCGCGGCTCCGTATCGGACATAACTTGGAATCCTTAAACATAGTACGGACCATGACAACGTTAAAATTAATCTTTATCTGAAGTAGAATAGGCTTTTAGTATCAAGCAAGCCCTAATCTTTCCCAGTCCAAATTCCCACACAAATTACTAAAAATGCTAAAAAATCACGACACCTACCACCACACAAAGATGTGTCAGAAATTCAATCTGTACTCGAGGTGGTAACAGGGATCTACAATGTCTCATTTCTCGAACCATAAGCGGAGTTGGTGTTCGAGAATCATGATCGATTTTCGTCGCTTGGCCACCCCAATTCCGCCCGTCCCACCCTCGCCTTATGACTGAAAGTAAATTGAGTAACGGATATCATGAATTATATACATTAGTTCGCGAATAATGGTATACTAGTACGTAATGGGCTAATGGAGCGTCAAAAATTGATAATAACCATTGAAATAATTTCGTTTTAGCACGAACCTTCAAGCGGGTAATTTTCTTTTGAGAGTTCCATGTGTAAATTTGATAAGATCAGATCACGGAATAGGATCACAGGTTTCCTTGATTATATTTCCATAAAATGAATAAGACATCTGAAGATGAGACACTTTTTTGTAAGGAATTGAAGTAAACAATATTTTAATAATTTCATGCAAACACAAAAATTTTCTACGTAGGTAGGTAGTACATCACAAATCTTGTATTAAGTAAAAATATTCTAAGAATAGCTACATGATATGTCGTCTTCAACATTCAGTACAATAAGATCTCACTTATGTCTCCGCCTATGATATTGTCAAGATGCAATAATGTTTTATACAGTGTTCATATTTCTTTATTATTTTATTGGAATACTCGCAGTATTCTACTGATTTATTGATATTGCCTATTCTAAAACGATGCACAAGAATGAAACATTTACTTTCCACTAGATAAGCCATGAGTGCCATTTGTGATAGTTTGATGAGTTTATTAAAATAAATAAATACATATAACATAAAATAAATACAATAAAACTAAACTTGCCAATCTTATAGCCACTGGTTATAAACGCGTGGGAGATCGCTCATTAATCACAAAATAAACAATTGTTTTGCAAATTTTATTACAATGGCACAGAAGTAAGGCGTTAAATGACGTCATCCTTACAACGATAACGAAGGGAATAGGAATGTTGTCTTTTAACTCAAACAAAAAATTGTTGACTCGGTATTTTGGATAGGATTAAGTTCATGTTCATTCAAGACAAATAAAAAATTTAATCCAGTTAAACCGTAAAGAACGTTGTTCGAAGTTAAAGTAAATGGTAGATATTGATTTCGTAAGGCAAGCTCAGGTGTCAGGCAAGTTCGCTTAACTTTTGTCAGTACTAATACCAGAATACATAAATATAATTCTCAACACCAACAAAATGAAAAAAAAAATGGAATAAATCTGTTGCAGTCATCTTTATTGTGACGACAAGGTTTATGTATATGTATGTCTAAAAGAAAAAGAATAAAATGTTCACGGGGAAGTCGGCAAATATAATCCGTGCGAGGCTAGGTCGGGTCGCTAGTCATATAAAATAAAATAGATTATGTCAACAATGAATAAAGGATGTGGAAAACTCGTATGTCTAATATTTACACAAACAAATCCCCCACACACGCGAGCGGTGTGTGAAAATTTTAAACACGGTTTAGTTTTCAACCACATAAGAAGCAGATGCAAATTTTCGGCAACCAAAAATAAAGCAGGTATAAAAACTATTTATGTTCAAAATAATATTTTAGAAATCACCTGACGGCCTGAAAGTATGAAAATTAATTTTTGAACAACGTATTCACATCTCTCAATTATGAGCAAATACGAGCACAAAATCAAAACCAAATAAAAACAGCTCAACAATTTAAGCATTATATCGATAAAATATCAAGTACTTAAACGACAAAAGGAGCTCTGCTCTGCTTTAATGAATTGTGGTGGAAAAGTCGATGTCGTCTACGACATTAAGCCTTCCTGATAACAAATATTGGAAAATCGGTACATTTCTGGTGCAGACTATATCTACCGATTTAAAGATTCGATAGCTTCTTACATTTTTATTATTGAGGCAGGCGGCGTGTCAATGTTACTTACAATTTGTGTAGCTGCTGCGAAACTGTTCTCGAGTTAATCCATTTGAGTGCATCCTTCAACGTGAACCGCAAAATTATACCTGTTAATATTTCGTGTTTCGTCACGTTTAGACTAAAATGCAACTCACGCTGATGTTATTCTTAAACAATAGTTAGTGATTCAAAAGGTAAAACGTCATCATTAAATTTTTGTAAAAACAGACAGTCTCTAAAACGGGAACCGTTTAGTCTTTAATTTTATCACAGCGACTCTTAAACAAGAAACGTCGCTGCAAAGTATTTTAAAGCAGAAATCGAAACTTTGTCACATTTTTGTAGTTCCAGTACCAACAAGAAACGCGAAAGAGAAAGTTAAAGATGTAACAGGTGGTTTTGCCCTTGGTACATCAATTGATAGCAGATAGTTTGATTATACAACTGCCTACGTTTTCTGACGTCGATTTATAAAATACTAGCGACCAGCCCCAGCTTCGCACGGGTGCAATATGCATGTATTATCTATATAATCCTTCCTTAAGAATCACTCTATCTATTGAAAAAAAAACCGCATCAAAATCCGTTGCGTAAAGATCTAAGTATACATAGGGACGGACAGACGGCGGATAGCGACTATGTTTTATACTATGTAGTGGTTTTCTATACATTACAGTATACATAGATTGGTAATAGCTCTGTCAACTACTGCCAACACAATTTTATGTTGATTTTCAGAAATTTGGGAATTTATACAGGACTAACCCTACTTTTCAAGTTAGCTTGACTGCGCTATATTCAACGTATTTTCTTAATTCGAATCTCATTACATTTTAAGCGACGGACATGTAATCCTTTCTAATATTATAAATCGGAAAGTGAGTTTGTTTGTTTGTTCCACTTTCACGCCGTAACTACTTAACCGATTGCTGTGAATTGTGAATCGTTATATGTCACATAGGCTACTTTTTACCCTTTTGTGACGCGAGCGAAGCCGCGGGTAAAAGCTAGTTGTAGAATAACTTTCTGCGACAGCTATTTAGGCAGTATACTTTGGAGATTGACAGTAACCTAACAGAAGGTTACGTTAAATATTTTATAGTGTTAGTACTACGGTACTGATATGCTACGCCATATACTTGGAATGGAAGTTAAAACTAAAGACAAGGTCATGAATCGTAAACCGCAAGTGCAATGTCGGCAGGACACATGATCGAGGTCATCATGAAGGCAATGCTCGACTGCGTCTGCACACATACGTTACTGTAGTTATACATAAGCCGTTTTACGATAGGGTAACTATATATATAATATAGAATATTTGCCGTACACAAAATTTATGACAAAAGCCTAGGTCTACCCCGTTGATCATGCCGCGGAGAACTTAACGGGTTAGCAGGGCTCCGGCCCGAAGTGCAAGAGTAGGAACGGGGTGGATTTTAGTCAGTAAGAGTCTGACACTCCCGCCTCACCCAGGCGGGAGAAGTAATTCGATTATTTCCCCCCCCCCCCCCCGTTGGTCCCAGGCTAACTATCTCATGAAGGGCCAAAAAGTTTTCAAAGGAACCAAAAACATCTTCACGCATCTCATTCTCCAACTGCATTAATCGGCTATTCTAAAAGCTGGCGCATATACATACATAATGTATGTTCTGCTTTACCATCAAAATAAAACGATCGTGGACAATATACAATCCATTTCGGAGAACGGCGACTGGGATTATATCCTTTCGCCACTGACCCACAACTTGTATTATGCTCACCACTACGGTAACCATAAAATTATCCACGCATTGAGGTTTAAACTGACGAAATTCCGTAATATAGAAAAATATCTAGGTACCAATTTTAATATGGTGTAAATTGTAAGCATGTTCTAAAAATATCAATAAAATTTAAACCAATTCGGTTTATACTATCTGTGGATTTAGAGCGCAGCGGTCGAAAATAGTGATGAACAGGTCAATCAATAAGGGAGCTTAGGTCGGGCCACGTTTGGGCCCGTCGGCGCTGTGGAGAAGTCTTTGACATGACAATCAATGCGGGCGAATACGGAGAACCTAAAACACGCCTAACAACGGTGGCTTACCATTGCTCTGATTGCCATTCAGTTACCAGTATTCAACTGTCATTCCCTAAAATGGAATGTCAATCCCATAACATAGCTTTCCAGGATTGCAAGGAACTACGGTTGTTTGTTATTTCGTTTTACAAAAGGTAGTAGTTCCAGGAATACTCTTTGTAGGTATGCCTTTAACACAAAATATATGCTATGCTAAGCGTATAAACGTTTGAAATCGAGATGAGATAGGTATATCGTATTTTCTATTAATGCCTTTACACGGTTTGTCTACACAAAAGAAAGACTCAAGAGGCCAATATCCAATGCATTATTCACGCAAACTTCTAAGCCATATATGTAGATTAAGTTTATTTGTATTACGAATTATGAACACCAATAGATTACTTTTATTCGTATAATAAAATGGATATGACAGTTTTTGTATGGAAGAAATGTCTAACATCCAAATTTATTTCTTGAAAAATTAGCCCTAACACAGATAAAAAACAAATCGAATAAATAGTTGTTAGTTCATTTGTGATCTTTGGATATTGTACGCAACTAATTTATTACACTTCTTTAATTATCAGTTAATTATTTAACTGTAGAATAAAATTGATAGTTGACAGTTTTAATATGGAAGAATTGTCAAATGTTGAAAGCTATTCCTCAGTTTAAAAAGAGCATTGAACAATTGGCCCTTAAACATTAAGGTTAAGGTTAGTGATAGAACCAACTTAAAATAATTTGTAAGTAGTAAGTACCCAATTAATATATTTTTAATGGAATATTAACATGACATTATATTACAGAAATGGAATACAGCTATGAAGAGGAGGAGGGGAGTGACGTGGAGACCGATTTGCGGCCGGTCGCTCGCCGGACGGCCAAGCACATCGCCGCTGGGGAAGAACGACCGCGGATCAATTCCAGCCAACAGACCACCCCCACCGATGGTAAGTACCACGCTAACCCCGAACTTGAATTAACAAACAATAATATTATGGTGAATTGGTGGTTTTTTATTACTTTGGGTATTTCTGATCAAGTCTATATCAAGTTGCTTTACATAACTATCTCACCTCATATTCTTGGTACTTACTGATAGAACTTTCTATAAAGGCAACGTAACACAGATTTGGAAATTGTACCTACAATAATAATTTATTATAATTAAGGTTCACTTTATGTTATGTGTAAATTAAATTGAATTATAATTATTCTGAAAATGGTTCTTGTTTTTCATCATCCGATGCATGAATTTAAGTGGAATCCTTTTTTGACGTGCCCTTCAAATTGGTAAAGTGAATTGATAATTTAATCAGATTTTTTGTGATTCAAGCACTGCAGTATAATAAAATTACTTTGATTGAAAGTTTGCTCACACTGACGGGCGACTGACGCTTCGTCAATGGAATGTAATTTTGGCTCAGTCTATGCGAGTGACCCGCCCGACATAGTAATTAAATCTCGTACATGTTCAGCAAAAAACTTCACACGTTTTCATTCTTTCTACTACTTTAATATAAAACGAAATTCCGCTCTTCTTTATTACATGCCCGAACGACACGGAGAGTTGATTGCATGTTCCCTGAAATGATACAATGAAAATTTCGAAAAATATGTTTTTATTGTCATATTTCTGAGAAGTATCTGTTAACGAACGTAAGTAAATATGTCACAAAATATGGATAAGTAAAAACAATTTACACTTACGATGTCAAAATACAGGTACATGCCTTTAAAAATGACCTGGTTTGTGTCAGGAATAGAGCATTGCTTTTAGCCAGATGGAATAGAGAAAACGGGGAAATAGCTGATGGAAATAGCCTGTTGGACGTAATAGTCGCCTAAATTCGTTCCAACAAGAATTTGCAAGTCAGCTTTGTGACACAAAAATCACAACTTGATTGAAAGCACAGAATATGAAAATACGTTATACAACTATTTTATCTTTGTATGTACATGTCTCTCTAGGTACTATTTTTACAAAAGTAATAAAATGACTAAAGTATTTGTACAAAGATAGGGCCTTAAATTAACTTTAATTACAACATACGTAGGCAACTACCTCGGCCTACATTTCATGTAAATATTGGCAGACTTGTAGTTCATTACAAATACGACTCATAAAATTAATTAGTCTAAGACTCGAGTATTGATTAGCAGTTCTTGGCTTTGTTTTTGTTAGTACTTTGATGTTCACGATGTTCTCTCAAAAACTACATATTTTCTTAAAAGGAGTCGCCCCGGGCTAACCATTTTCTTTCAATTTACTTCAAAAGTTAACATTTTGAATAAGCCAAACATGACATTGAGTTGAAAATAGCTCTGATAAGTATTATACAGAATATCTCGTGTTAATTATCATTGATCCAATAGATTGCGATATAGTAGCAAAACAAACGAAAAAAGGCTTCCAATGAATAAACGGATGCAATCGAATTTTGTTTCAGTTAACGCTTTTAAAATAAATAATAAAACCGATCGGGTCGAAGGTTGGTACGCGGCCATGCATAACAAATGAACGAACAAAGTACCTATACGCAGGGTATACAGGGCTGACCGCATTTTTCATTAGACTTCGAAGTTAGTGACATCCGAACGGGACGTAGCCGCCATTCACAATTAGTTTATTCATTAGGTAGATAAACGTTTTTGTACTTAACGTATTGATAGATTGACTGTTTCTCTAATGACAAAAGTAGGTAAGTTTGTTAGAGTAACTAATTAAATTGTATAATACATGCAACGGAATCATAAACCCATATCTGTATAATATTCTACAGTGACATATTGTGGTCATTCACCACGGCACTGCGATAGTGAGGTATGTCGATATTCTAAGATAATATCGGTGATACCGTACATCGTATGATACGGATCCTCGGATCGCTGGCTTTGATATTCATAGTATGGCGCCTAACATCAAATATTAATAACTCACTAATATGAGTTTTGGTATCAATAACGAAGTACGGTACTGATTTATTCATACGACTGCTCCTTCTTTTTATCCAACAAAATAAATGACAACAGTTAAAAATGCACATCGGGTAACGTTCCGTGTGCGATGCAATGCTAAAACCTTTTGTAAGTCCCACTCACTCGTTTTCATAATAAAAAGAATACGAATACGTGAAATGTAAACATGTGCAAAGGTAAAGTGATTTGCTCTGTGTAGGAAGTGACTTTCCACAGTCACTGGGAGCTGTAACGATGAAGGTAAACGTTAATTTCAGTTAAAAAAACAAGAACCAGCATTTACGGCAGCAGTCTCTCATTTAAAATCGACTGTATGACTAGTCAGTTTATTAACAGACTTTAAAATGAAATGGTGAAATTCTTACTAGACCTAAATGGCGTTATATAACAAGTAACAAGAATTTATCAAACAACTGTTGTACGAATGAAGAATAATAGTCGGATGTTATTATAATTTCAGCTTCGCAACACATGATAGACAAATCTAAATTAATAACTCGTGCTCGTTTGCGACAGAAATCAAATTGCGAAGCTGAAGCGTGTTAATTAACATAGGTTCATGATTTCCATTAAATGTAAAGCCTGGCTATTAGTCGATTTGGCACGTACTACTTCAGTGCCGTATCATTGGGGCCACTCCACAGCTCCCCAGTATTAAGTGACACTAATGTGTACCAAGTCGAATAGGTATGCACATACTTAACAAGGAGTCATCGGTATTTTCCTCATCTTAAGAGCAATATATTACACCCAATATCGTAATTCACAAAATACGATAGAAGATTTCAAGCAATACTACGAACCTTATTCCAATTAGTCTGAGAAAAATAAAAATGAGAAAATAAGCGCTTGGCAAGAAATGATCTTTTGTATGAAAAGGCAAATCTGAGATAATTAATAATTAATTCTACGCAGTCTTTTTACATTATTATGTTGTTGTCGTTGCTAACTTGTTGATGTAGAATAACAAGAATTTGCTTTTATAGTACCTATACCGATACAGTTTAACATTTTCAGACAAGTTTGAATAAAGAACACCTTCACTTCCATAGTGACATTTGATGCTTAAAAAATAATTATTTAGGCTCCCAAGAAATCAGTCAAAACATAGTGATAAGACAACAAAGCACTTGTCATGCAGTGAAAATGGACAAACAATTGTTTTGTGAGAGCTGTCGTGACATCGTATGCTGGCTCGACCACAATGGTAGGCTCACAATGCTGGAGCACAAAGCCGCACGGCAACTCACTGAATCGTAAATACCGAGGTGGCTGTACCAGCTTGACCTTTGCCTTGATGGCTCTGAATCATCGGAATGGCTTATCAATTACCTGATCAATTTACTACCCTATTCATAGTTAACGGAGAATCTAGGACATCCTTGTTTACCAATAAATTCCATAGCTCGGACTGCATAGAGCCGTTTAATGAAGGTGACGATCTCTGACTGACACGACACAGCGAATATTGAAATGAGCTCTGGACAAGCCGAAGTTATTTCAGAGTCAAAGTAGAACACTTCGATTGAACGTCCCCGTCAAACGCCTTCCGCTGAACAGATCAGTTTCGGTTGATAAATGACCTGACTTTCTGCATAAGTCAATATAACTTAACTACAAAATAAAATTGATTAAACATTATCTATCACTTAAAGTATAATAGTATCTATCTAACAAATGTTTGTCTCGAAGGGTCGTAGGCATTAACAAATGCGATAAGTATCCTCTACTTTGAGTAAAGGATTTCTATTGCCGTCATCCCACATAGTAAATCTAAACTCCGTAAACTATTACATTACCAATCTCATCATAGTATAACAAAATTCAATAATAAGTTTCCCAATACGGCAATCGATTAAAAGTTTAGTTTTCAGTAGATGCGCTCGTAACAAAGTCCTAACGAGATGGCAAGCAAAGTCAATTTATTTTAATTTAACATGTTTATATCGTCGACAATATCCACCGTGGGCGAGCTGTGGGCGGGATGTCAAAGTTCTGGTCCGCTCCAAAAGCGTCTTTAGCTCATAAGATTCAGTATTTAATGTTTGACGTCATCCACTGACGCGGTTCCTAGGTGCTACGACAACCACTCGATATTAAATATTATAATGTAGTGCCGAGTATAAGGTGTTTAACTTTATACATATTTATTTTTATCGAGAAATATACTTTTAGTTCCACTTCATATTAAAACCTATTTCTCAACAAGTGTGCACAATCAACCGAAGAAAATCTAGTCAGACTGGTCCCTGGAGAACAAAAATGCAAAGATGGTTTTCATGTCATTTTATTCAGATTGAATCAGACAACCGTGCTCGCTATGCAATGCTATCAAATAAAATGGATGATCATGTGTACGGAAAAGTCATATTTTGGAGAACATTATATTTCAATTTTAATCATTTAAAGCAAATTCATTGAAAAAGTTCCCAATTCATTGTACGTATCTTTGACCAATAATATGAAACTACGAGGTTTTTTTCCTAAATAGCTAAGAAAAAATAGAATTCTTAACTTGTAATTTAAAACAAACTTTTATAAATATTCTATGAAATAAATTTAGTATAATTAGTAAACTTAAACAGTTTATACAAAATTTCGGTGAACACTCGACCTCGTATGTAGGTAGGTGTCGCGGGAATGCTGTGCGGAGTGTACCTACGGACGCTTCAAACAAGATGAAATACAATTAACACCTGGGGGGCTAAAAAGGTAACATTGTATGTTTCATATCTGAATCATAATATGTGACATACGTCATGTCATAAAAAGACAACATTTCGATGATTCATAATATGAACTGAAAGTGTTTCATATTTGCAATTCATCTAATATGACACTTTTGAATGGAAATTCGTAAAATGGTTTGCAAAGAGTGAATTTCTATACGTCAAATAAGCAGATTTGTCAGATGTTACTCAAAGGCAACATTCTACAGTTCATTTTTTAATAAATTAATGAAAAATGGGAG